CAAGAATCGCTCCTGCAAAACCAGCATTGTTCTCTCCAACTAATTGACGATACTTTTCACGTTGTACTGCCGTTTTAACAGCGTCTGATCCTGTTGCAACACCACCAGCCGCTATACATGCTTCCAGAAATGGACCATAATCACTGCGACCGTTAAAAGCTCGGTAGTCCCATGGTAAGTTTTGTCCAATGAACCAGTCACGATATAACTCTGTAACTTTTATACTACCAGGAATTGCTTGTGGTGGCGTCTCACTCGGTGCTGTATTTGCATCATAAATCCCAAAAATGAAATTAGGTGAGCCAGCCATATCAAAGTTGAGATTAATCAAATAATCAGAACGACGTTCACCTGGCGTAGTTGTATTCTGAGCCTTTTGAAGATGATAACTCGAACCAGCCAAACCAATCTCTTCTGCAGCCCACCAACAGAAACGAACGCGATATTTGTATTTAGTATAGTTCGTTGTTCGATATAAACGTGCTAGATTTGCGGCCAAAACGAGATTAGCTGCTGTTCCACTACCTAAACAAAATGTAAGTAGCATAATCATGAATGTTTTCTCGAACTTCATTTATCGATCAAAAAGCAATTGCTCCTTTAAATATCAAAACGAAATTCTTACCATTGTCATTAATACCCGGTCCAGCTGGAACACTATCACTATGGCTTCCTACGACGATCGTTTGACTTATGTCTCCGTCCGTAGTATCGGCACAAATATTATCCACTGGAAAAGTTCCTAAGTTTTGCAATTGAATAGAAATTTTGACCATGACCGTAGTAAACAAACTAGCATCGGCAAGAGCTTGTCCAGCTGCATACGATAGATAAAGTGCAGGTAACTTGTTTGTTTCACGCAGACGTGCACTTATCGGAGCAAGATTGGCATTTGTTTCGCCATCATTATAGAAAAGTAAAGCCATGACGCCATTTTTTCCTGCAAGAATACCTTTCTCCGCGTATGTGCATTGACCTCCTGCTTTAACAAGTGCAACAAGACCTGTCGCATTTTGCCATTCATTTTTTGCACAGCCAAAATTCGGAATATTGATAACACGGACATAATCAGAAAAGTTAGTTGAAGTCGTATAGATGACATAAGTAAAATCGGATCTAGCAAGCTTTGATGAATAGGTGTAATTTTTTTCTGTACCATTGATTAATGACAGTAAGATTGGATCTGGTCCTATAGCAAAGTTTCGTATTTGAAATGTTTCTCTCATCACTTTCAAGACAGTGCCTTGATCCTTTAAATATTTCTCGATGTAGTTCACAGTTTCATTAAATCCTCGTGTGTTAATGGCTCGCGTGCCATTGGACTCATTAGCTATGCGTTGCAATTGCCGTAAATGAGTCATAAGATCTTCGATTTGAATGGTTTCAGCCAAAATTGAATTAAGATTAGGTTTGTTTGTTGTCGATGTCGAAACTATTGAATCGAATCGTTTATTAAGTGTACCAAGAGTGGCAGCAGCAAGGGCTAATGTGACTATTCCAAATAGACCAGTAACACATACTGCGATAAATATACGTTTGTTGGAACATTCGGTAACACTCATATTGAGTTGTGATCAAAAAACAGTGAAAAAAGTATACCTTATCAACAAATAAGTCTCTTTCAATAGTGTCATATTGAAGATCTATTGTTATTGACGGATAAGGTCATACATAAGTAAATACTGATAAGGGATTTAGTAGTATGCATTTTCTTTCGTGTAATCCAACTGACGACGAACAATAAAAAGTATTGTTTTTTGTCACTTTCAAATAAAATTATAAAAGAACACGATCGATAGCTGTTTTTTTATATATGATGCATACACTAAGTCATACTATGTAAAACAAAATTTTGCAAAAGTATGCATTTCAGTATGCTTTCTTTTATCAGCTCGTATGCTTTTACTAAGCTTAGAAGGAATTTGTTCAAACGTGTTGGAACACGCAATTTTTTTCAATAAAAATGCAAAAAAAAAATCGTTCAAGAACATATTCTATAAGATAAATTGTATGGGTATAAACACGCATTTTTTTTCTTTACAACAGTCTTATTATATTCACAACTAGAATAGATTGACTATATTTCGATTTTTCCGATACTCAGTACAATTAACCTTTTACGAACTCTTGACACTTTTTAGTAAGGAAGTTACTGGAAAACACGTAATAGAATGATATAGATATCATATAATCATGAATGTGAAGAAACAAGTAGAAAAAGACTTTGACAAGGACGAAAACGAACAAATGACTTTTCCAGCCTCTTAAAATATGAATCGAAACAATCCATATAGTCATGATAGTGATCAGAGATTAGGTGATAATTGAATCAGATAATTCAATGATAATTTTGAAAGTAAAAGTCAGGTATATCTTCTTGTTAGTTTGCTGCAATTCGTCAGACTTTCATCTAGGAATATATGATATGACATTTTTAACTGAAAATGTAATACATTGCCATACAATATATTACTACCAAATAAATTTTTTATCAATGCTTGTTGTTTTTCTATTATGAATCTGAATTTTTCTCGGGTAAAACTTAACATTTATCAAATATATTTGTAGAATGTTGCTTATTTCTATGAGCATCATCTATCAGTTGGATAATTTTGAAGATTGTAAAGAAAACGAGTGAAATGGCTCGAAAGCAACTTTTTTATTTACAAGTAAAAAAGAAAGCAAAAATTTCTGTAAAAATAATAATTCAATCAAAAAACTGTAAATATCCATTTTGTTCTCGGTTTAAATTCATTATGACATTATTAGTTTGTCAATTAGAGAAAAGAGAAATAAATGAATTATTTCACAGGACACCAGTTTGATTGTTGAAGAAACAGAACACAGTGAAAGATATGAAAGAAAACACGAAAGAGGACAATAAAAATGAAAGACTTGTGTTATCAGTGTAACTCCTAAATTGTGTTTGGAGAGAACGAAACACCAGACGTTAAATTGCATTGCTTGTCGTATGAGTAGGTTATAAAACAATAAATTCGAGCTTGTTTTGAGAATAAAGCAGCTAGTAATGAAAACATAGAAGCTGAGCTTAAATTTGAGTAAAATATAGTGACAGTAATAAAAAAACATCTACTTATGTTTCTCTTCTAAATGAATTTATTTTAATGATTTGAAAATATGATAAATGAATGTAATGCTCTAACTTTAGAGCCTTAGAAATTCTGCTAAGAACTTTAAAGAGTACTATATATCTAATTGTTGCATGGAAAAAAGTTAACAGTGTTCTTACTGTGGTATCATGTTATTGATCACTTTTCCAACTTGCTCTAGAGATCTCTTTAAGCAAGACAAACTCGTTTGATTTATTAGCATTTTTGTGTCCATTATACAACTATCTTTTGCTTTTCTAATATGCAAAGATTTTGTGCTGTATTATAGTCATATGTTCATTGCAAGAACAATCGTATTCAAGGGAAATGTGATTGAGTACTTGCATCATCATCTATCTTATGCTGCTTTCAATGACATGTGCTTATCTTCTTAAAAATAAAACATATGAATATATATCGATTTAGCCTGTATGATCTTAATTTTTAAGTACATGAAGATTTCTCAATTCAAAATGATCAATGAATCATATTTTTTCATCAAGCAGTAAATTTCATGTTTCTATAATTTGTACGTATCCGTTTATCTTTTCACAAATATAATAAATTAAAAGCAAAAGAGAATATTAACTATCATCTGCTCATGTTTCATATGATTCGGCATATTTTTTCCTCAAGAAGTCCTATCGAAATAATCTGGTACTAATTACATAATTTAATTCTTCGTCTCATATATGTTCCCAAATTAGCTGTGTTGAAATGTCAAAACTGTTTTGCATTTTATTCTCAGCACTATTATTAAAATTACTATCATTTGCAAGACAAAAACACATCATGGATAAATAACTTTATCTTCGTCTATAATTGCTCGTGGTTATTGTCATTAGTGTTTTGATCTTCAATGGAAACAGGACCAATGAGGCTCCTTTTAAAGAAATTACTAAATGAAAACCGCGAAAACTGTGTCCATTTGATGCACTAGATAAATTTCCTGTTGGCTTAACCCACTATGATTGTTATTCCGGTTATTGTTAAGTTTCGTCGAACAATATCAGGCTTTACTATTCATACTGGAAATTTTGATGAAAAAGATTAACCCTTTTTCAATTCTTCTAAATTTCAAGATCTTTTTTTTGTCATCCTTAACTCTCTTTTTGTTCGTTCGACAAATAAAATTAACTATATTAATAAACTATTTGAGTCAAATTGATAATATCGAAAGACTCTTTTATGAAAAAAAGTTACATTTAAATAAATTTCTCATAATTAAGATGGATTCCTTTTCATTCATTGTTTAATTCACTTCTACCTCAAGTCGGTGCTTTATTCGTAAATTTTATGTTCATCGATAACTGTTGATCTGTTATGGAAAGGCGGCGAAGATATTTTGTTCAGAATAGTATCGATGCGTCGGCAACATTCCAAGAATTATGCTTGTAGATTGAAAAATCAGATTGGAATAAATATTCTTTATCTCGATCGGAGATCAACGAAAGACAAGAATTGAAAAAATATGATTGATTCATTAAAGTAAAAATAACAGTAAATTGAAGAAGAAAGAGGAAAAGTAATCATATGTATCAATCATGAGAGAGGCCAAGATACGCATATATAAGGAATGATCAAACATGAACAGATCGATTACCAGACTGACAAAGAGAAAATGGGGAAAACAAAGATATTTCATTTCATTTCGAACAACACTTGTAAAAAAATTTTTTCATACGAAGAGAACTTTTTGAACGCACATGTTGAATATTCATCAACAATTTCAAATGTAGTAATACTTTTAACTTGAACAAATCACTTTCAGATTCTCATCATTCTATTTCTTCTGGCCGGTAACAAAATGTTATTTTGACATTGCCAAACATCTTGAATGCGTTCAGGAGTAAGTTTTAAAAGCGCTAAGACCTGAATAATCTATGATAATCAAGACCGTGCTTTCTCCATTTCTATTTCATGCATAATTTGATTGAAAATATACATAAAATCATCCATGTCAACATGAATGGGGGTGTAATAATTACCATGTCCTTTACAGATCCAGTAATGATGTTCCAAATGAAGACTCATTTCAGCATACATTTCAGGAAAAGTCATTCCAGTCGTATATCCAATCTCAACGACATGTGTTCCTGGTGATGACCATAGTATATTCATCATTCCAGCACCATGAGGACCGATAATTATGCGAGCTCGACGAAATAAGGCAATATGATCACGAATATGTCCTTGAGCTTCGAAGATTTCGATATGAAGATCTGACCATAATTTAGATTTATTGAGTGATGATGCTATAAATGTAAACATATCTGAATGTTCAACAATTGATCGTGCATCTCCATCTTTTCTTTTTATTAGAATAATACTGTCTTTTTTCTCGGTCACTGTTAAGTCATCAGTGGCCATAGCTCGATGAACAAGTTGCATGTCTGTTCGATCATGAATGTAGTGCGCATTGTCTTTATCTCCTACATATGGCCATGGTTCACTGCGATAAACAATATTTGCGAAGTGATTAGGACGAGTATCTTTATCAAATGGAACCATACGATCACGTGTAACTATGCCGCGTTCAACAAGGACATCAATCAATGGATCAGCGACACCACCTTTTGAAACAAGAACTTTGGCTGTTGTTGGCACAGTAGCAAGCAAGCGTAGTAATCTTGGTAATTGCTGAGGTGCAAAATGTCCTGGTGCTTCAAAATAATTTCCAAGAGAGTCAATTAATTCAGTATGTCGATATTCATTCTTGATTTGTGGAATGCTAGAGATGACGTCATTACTACATCGTTTATTGGTCCATTTTTGAAGATGAAAAGTGGCATGCTTAGTAAAAACTGTTCCAGGTACTTGTGAATGACAGTAACCTGTATCGACAAATGCATTGAATACAGCAATAGTTACAAATCGTTTGGTTGCTGGAAGGAAATTATCAAGTTCTGACTGTGGTTTACTGCATATAGCCCAGTCATGATCGATGTGAAGTGAAGAACATGTATCAGTCAAAGAGCGAGCACGAGGTAATGGATGAGGAATCAAATTAGGAAGACGTGCAACATTGTCTACGATACATCCTTCATTAGGATGAGAACGAAAATAATCGAGAACATCATTCACAACTGTTGCTGATGCAGCCTTGCATGCTGATGACTGCGATGATCGAACTATTGATGCTTGGCAACGTCTAAATTCGCCATTCTTATGCCAAGTCCAATCGAATAAGTGACTAACATTAAATCGTTTGACCCAGTTTGGAATTTGCCACTGTTCAAACACTACTTCTTCAGACTTGGACAATTGTAACGGAATGAGCGGCATCATATAGGATGGATTGGGACAACTCGGTAAACGAACTTTGAAATACCAAGTTAACATGATCATTGTGAAAAATGCAACAACCAATTTTGTATTAATCTTTCGCAGCATTTGTCAACAGTTGTTTTCGATGATTTTTGGTACTTTCACTTACTTCAATAATACATAGCATAAAATCTCAAATCATAAATATATGTTAGAATAATAGTTTATTTAGATTAGATATTGATGTTTTACACTAAAATAAAACTACTCAGAATACAAAAAGCAGAAACTTCATCGGATTGAATTCATATTTTCTTAGTCTCAAATCGAAATATTACATTTAGAGATCTTTCAATAGTATAAGAAACACTATTCCATGATATCTCAGTATATTATCAAAAAAGACTAAACTTTCTCAAAGATTGGTCAAGAAAACTCGTTTCAGAGTATGGTTTTAGACTTGTCTATGATAAAAAGTTGAAGTTTTCAAGAAAATCTTTCTTGACATCTGAAGACTATTTCTTTCGGAAAACATCTACTATGCACCAATTTTTGATCTATTCCACGAGATAGAAGATGATTGATGCTATTTAAGACCAAATTTATCTACTGTTTGAACTTATTTCTATAGAAGTAATTCATTTTAGCGTAGTTTCTCAGATCGTTTACTTGTTGGCGAGGATGAATAATGCGACGAAAGAATTACCTCACTATAGACAAATTTTTCGTCATAAAAACACTCCATAAATGGGTTCAGATATAGAGATGATGAAGACATGTTGAAAATCAGTGGAAGAGAAGATTCTCTAAATGATAATGAACAGAAAGAATACTTAAAAACATACTCATTGATGAAGATGAAGAAGAAAGAAGAAAGCACTTTGGGCTAAACACGTAATGATAAACATCGACACAGCTGACCTATTTTCCCACTCATCTCACCAATCCTTTAATAATATCGTTCTTCACATTTTCTTTCATTATTTATTCCACTTACTTAGTTTCTCTTTTTTTGTTCGATGAAGATTTCATCTTTTTTTTACTCGTATCAAATATAACGAACAAATGTACCGTTAACAAGTATTCCATACGCTCTCAATAATATACTTCGATTTTGGACGATTACAAGTCTCCTCTAACACTACTCTGATATCTAGACACATTTAATGCAGCCAATCCTTGTAAAGTAAGGAAGTATAAGACATTAGAAATGAAGTTCGGTGGAAATGGACAAAACTTAAAAGAAAGCAACATTATTTTAAACGTTTTCCTCACAACAAACTTCATTGATGACTTTACTCGTCTTGTTTACTCTCTTCATTGACTATGAATGGTACTTATGGTTATATGTTATGTCAACGAGTGGTCTAAAAGCGAAATTATTTTCTAATGTATCTTTAGCTTTTGTTTTTTAGAAAAGAGCGTCAAAAATTCTAACCAATATCATCCTATTATGGTGTGATGTCGTTTAATAATTGATTATAGAATGCACCAAAAAGAACTATGTCATATTTCGATGAATTGAATTATGTCTCATGAATGTTTGACTGACGTTTTTCATTCACAAGTTAAGACTCTAATAAGCTAATTTTAACAAATTTCAAATGTGCAATATGTTGAATACTTGCAGAGTAAAAAAATGCATGCTGATCATAATTATAATGATTTACCAGAACATATTGATGAGCAACTTCTTAATCTTACTTTCGACGATTTTCGAAGTAGATTTCTGGCAATAAACTATGTAGAACGCTTCTCAAACATCAGAAATCTAGCTTTTACTCGTAAGAACTAGAATTTTATCAACGCTGCTTAGATTTCTGTTGTACACTTTGATACTAGAAAGATTTTCGAGGACTTCCAGCACACTCATAATTTCAAAGAGATCCTAGCAGGGCTGGCCCGAGTCAGCAAACATTGGGGGGTTGTCGCGATTTTTTGGGGGGTTGTTTCGGATATTTTTAATGCGAATAAAACTTTGTTCTAACACTACTCACGAAAAAAAATTCATTTTTGCTGGGTAAAAACGAAAATTTTCGATTATTGGGGGGTTGTCACAACCCCAAAAATCCCCTATCGGGCCAGCCCTGGATCCTAGTCTGTTTTAATGATATTTTCTCTTCACTCAATTTCAAAGTCAGCGTGGAATGGATCATACTTCATTAGAATGAATGTAGAATACTAGCCATCTTGGCATGATAGAGTAAAAAAAGGTTCTTTCCTTGATATTTTATTCTTCTGTTCTCCCAATTTTTCCTCTCCTCTTTCTCTCCTTATTTCTGTTTCTTTGCTATATCGATTTGCACTTGTTGATAGTGTTCGGAAAAAAAATTACAAAGAAAAAGTAATAAACTTAGGGTGTATTTTAGTAGTCACTGTATTAGAATCAACAGAAAATACACTAATACAATGAGTTTGAGTTGAAAGAAAAAAGCTCATTAGTGTAGCCCCTTTGGGACTAAAATGTAAAACTCTCATATGTTCTCTAGCCTCATTAAATTAATACAAAATATATTAAGTGAAAAATCTCTCGTAGACTATTATTATTGTTTTGCAGGATAATCGATCACCAGAGTGAGAACTTCTCGTATTTCTGCTTGTCAAACAGAAGTTTTTTATTTTTTCTACAAGTTACAAAGATGGTAGAGATTCGTAAAACGAAAAGTAATAGCTGGCAGATAAACAAATTGAAATATCTATAGAAAAGAAGTCGAAAATACTATTTTTCGGTAATAAAAATATAAGAGATGTGCATATATCTTTCTTCTCCATAAAAGGCTTCAATAAAAGCAAATGATCACTAGATCAACCTAATTAAAAGTAATCAAAAATAGAAAGACTGATTCATTTCAACGGATTAAAAGTTAGATATGTCTATGGTTATAAATATTTTAATTTCTATTTGATTTTATTAACTTGAACATTTCGAAAAGCAGTTTTAACTCCATTATCGTTTACTGAAATTTTTCTGGTATTTCTGACCAAACGCTAATCTATCAGAGATTAGCTTCAATTGGTAACCGATCTATCGATAGACTACATTATTCAGTAAATGGTATTCACCATTGTCCCTAGATATTCATCAGTATTACTCCGTACACTTGGGTTTCAACTCGTTTTTCCGTGAGCAATTAGATTTCCACAAGGTTTCATTTAAAAAAATCACATTTAGAAAGTTTTTTCGTTAGCTTATCAGATTTTCGTTTGCTTTTCTTTCAGCCGGTTAGATTTCAACATTAAGTTCCTCCAACGAATAAGACACTTTGTGTGTTTTGAAAAGGAACTTTGTTGAAAAAATTCGATCTATTGAAGAGATTGTCACACTGAATTCTGTTAGGCTAAAGTAAAACGCTACAGAAATCTGGTTGACTAAACAAAAAATCATGTTGAAACTCCAGTAGATAGAGCAATACTGGTAGATATCGGTTAATATTGGTAAATATTTCTTACCAATTCAAATGAGTTATCAATAGGTTGACTATGGGTTCGTACAGGTTACTAGCTTATGATGGATGTCGATTTGGACTGGTGAGATAATATCTTAAGAGAAAATCTATGTGAATCAGACATTGTAATGCGAAAATTCGCTCCTCACGTATGATGAAAAATAATTTAAAAAAAATGACCATGCTTTACTACTAATGGTAAAATCGGACCACTTTATAAAAAATTCAGGCTTTTTAAGACCTTGTTTTTGCTAATTGCAACAGTCGTTCTGAGTATCTCATTGAGCTTCCTAAACAATAGGAGCATTCAGAAAGTTTATTTGATTCGCAATTCAGAATATTTTTTTGTAACTTAACTTTTGGAAATTCTATTTAAATATATGCTTTCATAATTTCTTAACATACAAAATATTGTAGAATTTGATGAAGTTCATTTAGTTTTAAAAAAATATCAAAATAACGATTGATCAATTTTTGAATTCTTGATGCCTAGCAATTATCTATTTCGACTAAAATATAATCGACAACAAATATGACAATCAAAGCTAAACTGAAAAAGCTGACTAGTTCAGCGAACCCGTTGGATTTGGCAGTCTATCTTGCACAAGAAAACTATATATGTGGTTTTATAAAGTAATTTGTAGGACTTGGAATTGTATATAAGAAATCAAGTTTGCCTTCAACTTTAATGTACTGATATTTCATATACGATACTGATTAATAATTCTTAAGAAATATATGCTATGTAAAATAATTATTCAGACATCCTGGAATACTTGACTTGTAAAGTAAATTACACAAAGAAGAAAAACTATTTGCTCGACTTTGATTATACCATTTGAGAAATTTTTTTTCCTTTTTCTGTCGCTCTATATATATATTGAGCCGGTGCATGAAGGAAAGAAAGATACATCTATACACCATGCCTATAGAGTGACAGAATGAAAAAAAAATATTTTTTTTCTTCTTTCTCTATTGTAAATTATATTTCAAAAGACAGGTTTTTACTATACTCAGGAAAAATAATGATTGCACACTCATGCACATCATTTTATAGAAAATTTAGTTCTCTTTAGTTATTTTGAAGTTTTTAAGATTCTATCAGAATCTTCAAGTTTATTAATATGTTTTGAAAGTATTCGTAGTCTAGAAAATGACTTCACATGCATAAGGTTACATTGCAAACTGACCGTTCGTATCTGTTGTAGTCATGGATGAGTGTCTTCTCTTCACGTACATGTACATTCATATTCTCACGTGCGTATGCGAGAGAGAAAAGAACATGCAATTGAAAGTAAAGTACGAAGATATACAGTGTGATAACTTAAGGCAGAATAGAAAAAGAAGAAAACGGTGCATGAGCAAGCAAATCAAATTTGATGTATACCACTACGATGAGCATATTCGAACGCATACGAAATTGTTTTCGATCATCAACGCAATGTTTACTTTTTTGAGAGATAAATTTTTTTATTAGAATAGCTTCGAGTCTTCTCTCTGTCCGATGATATAATCAAAGTCAAGAAAATAGTTTTTCTCTTTGTAAATTCGCTTCACAAGACAAGCATCACAGGTTGTCTGAAGAATTATGTTACATAGAGTACACTACTCAAGAATAATAACCAGTAT